CCCAGAGGGTAGGCCCTCCCCGGAGTGCCCGTCCAAATCCCCTTCTCCTCACTCCAGCGCCTGCCAGGAGGAGGGTGTGTGCCTTCCCACTCACCTAGTCAGCAGCTGTGGACTGAGAGCCACCATGGCTGTGCCCAAGGCAACGTGCCTCCGGGAACGTGAGAAATAAATCCGCTCTGCCCTTCAAAACCCCATGAACTGGTAGGAAATGCGGAAAACAAAGGAATGATCTGCCACAGTGTGGGAGAGACGATTTAGTGAAAAGAAAAGACAGATAGGAAGGGGGCAGGAAGGAGAGAGAGTTAATGTAGCCTGACTCGCAGATGTGAGGGCGCAGAGAGACGTAGAAATTCCTCTCTGGGGTTTATGTTGAGGCTGTACCTTAAACGTAAACAAACAAACAAAAAACAGCCTTCCAGGCAGGCGAGGATGGGCAGAGCTCAGAGCAGGACTGGCCCACCAGGGAGGAGAGATGGGCGCTGCTGGCCTGGGAACCACGGGGGCTGGGCTGGCCAGGAAACCCGGATGGTTTTCCTGTGAGATAGAAGGCACACTTTTCATTTTCACTAATCGTGTTACTGGTTTGGATGTTTTGAGTTTTTTGGCTCTCTCCCCCATGGTCGAACATTGATTGTTCTCAACTAATGTCTCAGTTTGATCACTATCAACTTCAGCTAGTCTACCCAACCATGGAGCATGGTCCATCAAGAAATCTCCAGCATGAAACTTCACAAACCACTTTCGAGATGTTCGATCTGTCACAGCACCTTCTCCACACACTGCACGTATCTTTTTTTGCATTTCAGTTGTGTTTTATACCTTTCTTGAAATAATGAAGCATAATATGCCAAAATGTTGCCTATTTTCTTCCATCTTCAATATTAAAATGGCTACATAAGAATTCACCATATTTCATAAGTTTTTTTTAAAAATGCACACTGATATGACAACTGTCACAATACGATCTAACAAAACTGTTTTGAATGAAGTTCAAGACAACCGAGTGCTACTAGAACCATTGTATGGAAAAAACCAAACGAACTTTTGGGCCCGCCCATTATTTTGGTGGCATTCAGTGATTAGATTGAAGTTGATTGGGACAGTCGGTGGGAGGGAGGCTGGCCTGGGACCGATGGCCGGTTGTCCCTTCATTCAGGGCAATAGGCGTTCGATCACCTGGGAGGCTTCCCACCATCCTCCGTGAGGTCCACCCCCTCCCTGCACACACACTCCACGCACCAGCCAATAAATCTTCAGGATGAAGCGAGAGCAGAGTGACACATTTCCGTTTTTCCTCTGGACGCTCGGAGTGAGCTGATGCGCTCTCAGGGTCTGAGGGCACCGCGCCTCCTCCACCCCGTCACCCCATCTCTCTGCTCCGTTCCAGCCTCAGGAAACCTGTTTCTTAGTGAGTTTGGTTTTGACCAGATCCAGCTTTCCTATTATCTCTCTGGTTTTCTGACCCCTCAAGTCCTTTCGCATCATGCCTCTGTTCTCTCTGCTGTGCCCCGTGTCTTCCAGTTTAGGAGAGTTTGTGGATTTCATTAGCATGCTATTTACTGTCACTGCAAAGATCTCATGTACTCTACCTGCCTTCGTGTGGCTTATCACCGAGAATGAAGTAGAATTAAATGTACCAGTGGTATTTAACTCAGAAGGGTTAGGAACACAAAGGGAAGAAAATAATAGAAGAGGCTTGAATAGATTTGGAGGGAAAAAAGTCGGAGATGCTTATAAAGAGTTATTCCTTACAAAAATATGCTTGAAGAAAATTGATAAAACATATGCATTGAAGGTGTGAAATAATTATAGTTGTTTAGGAAAATGCGAGAAGTGTCCATAGGTAACGTAGAATTTACATGAACAAAAAGGAGCAATGTATGTATTAGAACAACAGAGTATTGGAGCCGAAACTACTCCGGGGATTTCAATATATCCTTCGCTTTTCATAGATGCAGAGAATGAGCACGGTATGGCTTGGCTGAGGGTCCGCCCCCGGTGATGACAGAGCAAACCCTCAAGGCCAGTTCTGCGACCTAATGAGTGGATTTGTTCCAAAGCCCCTGAGATGTACCCGTGAAAGCCCTTAGGGCTTATAAATGATGGGCACAAAACCCATTCTGATTTCTCCAATGTCCTTACTAAAACAGGGTTGCTACTGGTTCCCTCGTTGGACACATTAGAAAATCAGAGGCTCAGAGAGGCAGCGCCCCGTGAAAGACAAGCTTCAGGTCCGTGGCAAGGTCAGATCTGAAGTTCTTTTTTCCCCTTATTTCCAAAGTAGCGTTCTCGCCAAAACTCCACCCTGACCCTGGCAGAAAATGAACGTCCCGTTCCATCCGAAAGGAACAACCAACTAGCTCATCGTCCATCACAAGCGGAAGAAGCGTGAGGACTGCTGAGATCCAGAAGGAATCTTACACATGGAATAGCTGCAGCCTGGAGGCTGAACAGACTTCACCTTGAGCTCAGATAACCCCGAGTCAGAGGCTAGCCTTGATGGGTCTGTTCTTTGTTGGCTGTGTTCAGAAAGTCCTCCTAAGGCTGTGCCCATAGAGACTGTGAGTACAACCGTCACTCAGACCTGCCAGCTGGTGCTGAGGGCTCTCACCGGCCACATCCCTGTGTTTGTCTGAACCACCGGGCGTGTGCTGGGAAGCAGGAGGAGCCTGCCTCGTACTGCTTGGTTTCTCGCCCTTCTGTGAAGGTGTCGGTTCTGGGAGCTGGGCCCCTGGTGAAGAGCATCGGCACAGAGAACCGAACGTCTGGACAGCGATTCACAGAGCCGGCGGCGGGCAGGGTGGGGAAGGGCCCCAAAGCAGGGCAGAGGAAGGAAGGCCAGTGTCTTTATGAAAAATAAGCATTCAATGCAGTCTCAGCAATATTCCTGTTTAGAAAAAAGATGTGCACTATTCTTATAGTACCGTCGCAATGAGAGCATAGAGCATGTGTTTCCGTACCGAGTCCCTTCATCTGTGGAAGTGGGTAAGTTCTGAGCAATACGTTGCTGATCAGCCCTTGAGTGTAGAATAGAAGTGCGTGGATTCTCATGTAAGAATGTCGATACTTCAGGCAGAAATAGGTGAAGAAATCGGCATGTGGTTTGCAAAAGAGGAGGTTCTTGTGCAACGGCCTGTTCTTAGTAGGCCTGGCCCTTGGAACTGGTCCCTTAGTTTTTCTGATTCTGTTTTTTTCAACTTTAAAGGAAACAAATTGCATTTACCTCAATCCAAGAGGAGGTGGTTTTATTAGGATAACTTGAGAATGTAAAGTAGTTTATAAAGTCTGAGAGTTTGTCAAAGCACCCGACACAGACCTCAGCTGACTGCATTCAGGCACGAGTGAGGACCTCGGAGGTCGAGTGGGAAGCAGAGGGAGTCCCTTCCAGGTGGCTTTAATCAGGCGGCAGGGAAAGTCCTGGTCCCCCTGGTTTTCTAGAGTTTGACCAGGCTCTAAGCCAATGACCCTGGCTGGACAGCAAGGCTTGGCCCTGTCTCTGGAGGGTGGCAGGGACAGGCTTGTTCCAGCACTCGAAGTGACGAGAGAACAGGGGGAGAATGGAGTCAAGGTACAAGCCAAAGCAGAGCTCCAGTGGTGGCATTTACAGGGAGACCGGTCACGGGGTGCGTGGGTGAATTGGGCGAATCTGCGTGCGATGGGGAGGGATTGGCTGGAAACCCAAGGGACATGGGGGTCGCTATCGAATAGAATATTTTAAACCACAATGATTATAAAGAAGCAAGTTTGAAAACCTTTCTGGTCACAAACAGATGATCTCTCCCTTACTAGGAAAAACTATTTTTTCAGAAACTGTCATGCCTGTTATTTTTACATCCATATTTCAATAGCAGTATCAAACAGTATTTTCCAACAATCTGTATGTTTCCTGTCTCGTGGAGTATCTTGCAGCTGGTTACGACACATCACGAACCATTCTAGACTTTCTTAGGGTTTTCTATCCAGGTCACATGAGCCCCAGGGCAGGGCTCATGGGCCCAGAGGCCGCTCTCTACCCCCAGAGCGGCTTGGGAATCTCTCTCTCTCTGGAACCTGAAATGTTTCTTCCTGGAATCTGGGCTCTTTTACCCTGGAATGCACCCCTGACTTACGGAGACACCTGTCCCCCTGAGTGAACAAAGGATACGTAAAAACAAAAGCCTCCGTGGGTGGCCATACCGTGCAGCGCACACCCCCACGTGCCTGCCGCTGCTGGAACCACGACAGGAAACAAAACTTGGGGGAAACACTTGGCAACACGGCAACTACAGAGTCAGGTGATGCCTTTAGCCCGGTCGCTTCTCTCCTGGGACTTAATACAGAGGAAACATTCAGAGACGTAAGTTTGTAAGCAGGAATATTTATACTAACATTATTTATAAGTCTAAAATGCAGAAATAACCAAATGCCTAATAAACAGTGACTAGTTTATGAATTATAATGCTTCCATAAGATAATGTGAGCCATTATATAGTTGTAATTTTGCAGTATTCTTTGTATTTCAAAGTCTTACCATGAAAGTCAAAAAGCAGGGTATGAAGGTATACTTACTATAACATGTACATTTATGATCAGAAAATGAGTCAGGGTGGTTTAGCTAGTGGAATGTGGTAAGGTTTTGTCTTGTTTATACTCCTCCACAGTTTGCAAATTGGCTACAATTAGGATGTACCACCAATAAGAAACCAGGACTGGATTCCAGGTCAGTGTCTCTCCTTCAAACACCACTTCCAATCAGTCTAACTCCTACACTGCTTTTGAATCCGTGGATTTCTCCCTATATTCACTGCTCACACTCGCACCCAAGCTTGTCACCTCCCTTCTGCCTCATCTGAGTCTCCTGACTGGCCCCTGGCCAAATGCCCTTGAACCTTTACAGTTCATTCAACGCACTTTGGCCAGAATAAGAGCAGCAACAGAGAAATTTCATCATGCAAACTTTCTGTTCCAAAAACTCTAATAGCTTCCCCTGCAATGTGCAGTAACAAAAGGTTTGCCCCGCCGGTCAGCCCCACATGATCTCACTCCCACCTACTTCCCAATGTCACCTCTGACCACCCCCGGAATTGTCCCACCTCAGAGCCAAGGGCGTGTGACTGCCACTTCCTTCCTGGTGCTGGGACCTCGGCTTCAAGTCACAGCCTCAAAGAGGGCTTGTTGAACCGTGTGGATCACCCTGGAGCTGCCTTTTCCTACACTTCTCCCTCCGAACAGAGAGCACAGTTCTGCTGTAAAACATCGTGTGATGTTTGGGTAAATCCGTTTTCACTTGTTGATTCTCTGAAGTTCTTTCTTGCTTTGTCCTACAGAGCTAGCCCTCTCTTCCGAATCCCTCCAGATTACGAACGCATTGATACCAGGCCTGTCTCCTGCGTTGGCCTCTCCTCTGTACTTGTTTCTCAGATCACCCACCTTAGCTCTCCCCGTGCACAGAGAAATGACACGCAACCCCCACGTATGTCCTTCCCGCCACATCACAGACCCAGGATGGGGCCAAGAAAGCTGGGTCCTAGTTCCTAGGTTGGGGACCACTTTTATAGATTAGCCTGGGTTTATCTCTTTTACCATCTATTGATGGATGCCTCGCTTATAGACCGTGTGAGCCTGAATTGATACGACCCAAGAAGGCTCCTTCCAGTCATTGCTCTTTGGATTTTTTCTTCATTTTTTACGGCGGTTTATTTGTACATAACCCTGTCTTCTTCACAGAGGTGGAGTTGCAGGTAAACACTAACTAAATCCCATGCATTCCTCTATAGCAACACTGTAATTTAACGCGCATTAAGAAGAAATGGCGGTTTCCTGGGTATGTCTTGGGTGATGTCACTATAAGACATATCATTGAGGTGTATTGCTTAATTCGGTGGGAATACTTTGTGCTAAGATAGGTAGGGGGCACTCATTGTGTCTTTTGATAATCTGGCATTAAGCTTACAAATTCAGCTTCCATGTAACATCTCTGTTTGCAAAAGCTTAGAAAATGGTATTTCCTTCCTCTACTGGGAGAAATATTGATGGGAGTTAAATGAGCAACCTTGCAAAACATGTATTTAAGGGTTAGAAGAATGAGGACAATAAAAGCCCAAGTAAATTTTAGTCTACCTAATTTAAGGACCTCTAATTCAGCAGCATGACTATTGCACCTTAATGGCACGATCTAGCGTAGCACTGTCGTTCTCTTGCCAAAAATTGATTAGATGAGCTCTTTGTAAAAATTATGATGACTGGGAAAGTATGGGTGAGTTTAATTTCATCAGTTCAGAAAATATGATCTCCTTTCCTAATGGAGTGGAACGTAAAGAGAGGAAATAAAGGGCTGAGTCCATTGCGGTAATTAGGGAGCTGGCCAAGGAGCTAGAGTCACTGTTGCTTAAGGTGCATTTCCATGGCAGTCCAATCAAAGAAAGCCTCCCTGCTGGTGGGGCCGACAGCAAAGGTATAGTTTAGTAAGTGGTGAATAAGAAAGCCTGAGAACATCTGGACTGCAGGTTTGACATTTTTTATTGATTTTAGAGAGAGAGGAAGGGAGAGACAGACAGACAGACAGAAACATGGATTTGTTGTTCCACGTATTCATGCATTCATTGGTTGGTTCTTGCCAGTGCCCTAACCAGGGTCAAACTCACAACTTTGGCATATTAGGATGATGCTCCAACCAGCTGAGCTACCTGGCGAGGACCTTGACATTTTTCTATTAATTATTATCGACTACCAGGAGAGACTTAAAATCCATGTGCTGATCCGAACCAGAATTTCCCTTTTCCATTCCCAATGCATGAATAGGTAAAATAGTGTTTGGAATCTGAAAGTCACGAGCCTTAGTTTGCCCAATTTGTAAACTACTTTATTTTGATCCATTTGCTCTTCTAGAGTACCTAAAAGAACTGCTGGAACAGTGAAAAAGGAGATTTGGGGGATATGAAAATTTTATCTCCCCATAGCAAATATCTGGACAGGTAATTCTTGTGATCACACAAATAAATATTAAAATGCAGAATGCAAACCGCAGAGGCACAGTAAGATTTTGGAGATGAATTCCATTATCTTAATTAGGTCGGATAAAATTTAAGAAGCTTTATGAAGTAGGTAAAATTTGTCTTCAGAGTAGAAAAATTGATTGCACTCTCAGAAGTGCCAGCCTCTCAGAGCTTTTTAAAATTGGGAGGATTTAAGAAGCGTTAGTGTGAATCCCGGAGTAGAAAGGAAACGTCGTTACAAAGCCCAAGTTCTGACATCAGTCTCACTCCTCACTGCTCAGACACAGAATCACTGTTCCTTTAACCAACACTGACATTCCTGTTAAAGATCATTTCAAATCACCTGTTATTCCATTATTTTGAAGCAGCATCACAGAATGTTGTGCATTTTCTTCTAGAGCACAAGCAAAGAAAGTGTTAAGGTATATCACCTGCACGGGGTCTTGTATATGCAAGAGTTACTCAAGAAATGATTCGTATGGCTTTATGGCATATACACGCTCATACAGCAGTGTGTTTGTGGTCCAGGGCTTCTTTACCTCCAACTCCTTACTGGGTTAATTACGAACCAAGCTAGAAAGAAGGCGATGCCTATAGAGAAAGGAGAGAAAACAGAACCGGCCACAGGAGAGGAATGGTGATTATGTTGTGATTTGTCAGTAACATATGCTGCTGGTTGATACTGCTTATCATAGCGTCATCCATATACATCCCACGTAAGGCAGCAAGACTTGTATGTTCTCCCAAAGTTCTTCAAGGCAGGTGTGGGTGACGCTATAATCTCAGTCACGGAGATGACACGTCTCACTCTCAGGCTATGAGACGTCTTCCACAAGGCTACACAGCTAACACATGAACCTCTTTCTCTTTCTTTTTTTAAAACTTCTAGCTATTTTTATTCATTAGTTTCTGTTAGCTAAGCATGAAATAAAAACTTATAAAGCTTTTGGAAGAAAACTTAGGATGATATTTTTACAATGTGGGAGCAGGCAAATATTTTTCAGATGGGATGTGGAATGCAATAAACATAAAATATCTGAAGATAAATCGCACTACATCAAAATTAAAATCTCCAGCCCCATCAGAAGACATCATTAGGAAAATGGACTCAGTCACAGACTGAGAAATTATTCACAATGCATGCATTTGACAAAGGACTTGCTCCCAGAAAGCCTAAATACTCTTGCAATTCTATAACAAAAATAAAATAACCCATTAAAAATGGGAAATATTTGAAGTGATACTTTATACCTAAGTGAAAGCGATGGCTTGCGTGAGAGGGTGCTCACCTCCTCGAGTCTTCCAAGAAGTGCAAACCAAGGCCACAGCGAGATTAAAAAAACACCCACGAGGATGAGGGAACTTTAAAAAACTAAAAAAGAAGCACGATACAAATGTTGGTGAACATGTGGAATAACGAGAACTCTCCTTCATGGCTGGAGGGAATGCCAAATGCTTTCTTTAACTTCGGATAATAGTTTCCCATTATCTTTTAAAGTTGTATACACTTACATGCAATCCAATGATTTCACTCCTAAGTATTTCAAACAGGATATGCCTACACCAAGACTCATACATGGTGTTCATAGCATCTTCACTCATAGTAGCCAACACACGAACCAGGATTTAAGGTACGGCACTTTATTCTTTGAGAATAAACTATTGAGTATCTCATGGTACTAACCTCAAAAGGCTCACTTTCTCTCTCTCTCTCTTTCCCCCTCCTTATCTATAATGGAAAGTTTCAACAATATACGAAATGGGAAAGATCGTTGAATCCCATATACCATCATGTAGCTTCAATGAATGTGGTTCTTTTGCCAATCTTGTTTCACACACCTGTCTTCTATTTGAAAAATTATAATTGGTTCTCTTTACAAATTCACAGGATAGTCTGTGCCCTAGCAAACTTGCAAGATGACCCAGTTTTTTGCTACCATTATGATTTAATGGCTAACACTTATTGGGATGTGGTTCTGTTCATTGCCGTCCATGTTCAGATCACCTGAGTTGGAGGCACTGAAAGTCCTTGGAGTTGGCTCAGATGTCCTTTCAGTTCAGCTAACACGGTCTTTGATAAATAGACTCACATTTTATGTGGTGATTGCTGGGGGCAGGGGAGTGTAGGAGGACTAAATGGTAATAGAAGACACACTAAAGATTAAATCAAAAAAAGAAAAGAAAAGGAGAGAGAGAGGCTTAATTTCCAAAGCAGAGTTTCACCAAGAAGTTACGACCGTCACCCGCATTGCCTGTCGGGAACCTTCCGGGGAGAGTGTGCTCCTGCCCTGTCTTAAGTGTTTGAGAAACTCGGCCTTCCCAGACCAGGCGGTGTCTGGGTCAGAGCTGAGAGGTCGCTGGCATGGGGACGACCACTGTCATCCCCTCAAGCCTCCAGTGGGCAGGAGCCTGGGTCGATCCGAGCGCTTGGTCCAGTGCCCCTTTGGTGCCCTTCTCCCCTTGGAGCTCCCGGCCGCCTTTTCCAAGTGCTCCAGGTAACACAGACGATAACAGTGATGAGGAGAAACATAGGAATTACGTGATGACAATAAAACAAACAGCAAATCACAGGGGTGGGCGGGGGCGGGACTCACATGCATCATTTTACTCTCCTGGAGCCTCCCAGGCTCTCCTTGTCACTGTTCCCAACCTGCAAGTGTGACGGCTGAGTCTCAGAGCCATCTTGGTGGCTCAGGATTGCACCTTCAGTAATTCGGGGAGTTGGGGTGGGAACTACTCTAATGGTCTTTATCAATACTTAAAAAAAACAAACACCTGAATTTAGATTCACAGAAAAGCCATAAAGACAGTGGAGTTCCTCCAACATCCCAGACTTTTGCATGGCTGTGTATTTCTCGTACACGTAATTCCTCCTGCAGACGCAGTTCACGGTTTTAGTGTCATTTCCATCCGACGCAAAGGGACGTCCTTTAGCATTTTCCATAATATCGTCCCATTGATAAATTCTCTCAGGCATTGTTTAGTTAAACCTGTCTTTGTTTTTTGTTTGTTTTTTTTTTAATTTGTGAATAAAATTTCTACCGGACATAGAATCAATCCTGTGTGCATAGTTTTGTGGCATTTTGAAGTCACTGTAAGGATGCTGGCCCATTGTTCTGGTCATATATTGTTTCTTATAAAACATCCATTATCTTTGCTTTTGTTATGGCTCACATCATAGTTCTCCTTTCTTTTCTGACTGCTTTTAAATTTTTATTTTTTCAGTGGTTTCCGGTGGCGGTGCTATTTGGACAAGCCCAGGTGTGGATTCACTGCTTTCACGATGCCAAGAGGGTTCTATTCGCCTGGAGACTGGTCTGCAGTCAAAGGTACTGACCTCTAGATCCTGTCCAGGGTTCAAATCGGGAGTTAACTTACATGGGCCCGAGATACGTTGAGCAGAACACGAGCAGATTCAGAAGAATTTGGCACTTTGCTCCTGGCCACTTGGCCCCTTCTTCCGTGCCCCCTGATTAGAAATGCGGTTCCTTTCATTTTATGTTCAGCATCAAGCCCCTGTCTCCATCTCGGCAACCGCGCTGCCCCCCAGTCCGAGTCCTCGGGGCTCTGTCCTCATCCCAGCTGTTGTACACAGTGTCTGCACACGAGTCCTTTGCAGGCACCTTAAACTATGCATGTCCAGAGTGGATGACCTATTCCACCTCCCTGTGAATAATTTTGGGGTCGACGCTGGCATCTGTTTCGGCACGGGCACGGCGGGCCCGCTGACCCTCCTTGCCTTGCCCGCACCCACCCTCGGCCCTGCGCTCCACCCCCTCATCCGGTCAGTGGGCCTCCTTCTCTTCTCTGTCAACACTGCCCGAGGCCCGACCGCCACCGCGTTCTCTCTGGGTGGTCACAGTGGGTTTTGAGCGGGTTTCCCTGCTGCAGATTCTACGTGACTTACCGTGGCCTCCGGGATCAGACCCAGCCCTATTTACACCCTCGTTTCCCGTGTCCTTCCCCTGTCACAAGGACCTGTTGGGCTTTCCCGGGTTCGTGGGGCCAGTGTAATTCCCAGCAGACTCAGCTGTAAAGGCCAGAGGTGGGGGAGCTGCGGGGTTCACGTTTAGGTCTTCAATCCGTTGGAGTTTATTTCCGAGTGTGAAAAGAAATAGGAGATGGGGTATTTTTTTTCAGCACTATTTCTTTAAAGTACTTTTTTATTTCTGCTTTCTCCACCTTCTTCCCTGATTTTCTTCGTGGGATGAAGAAGGACATCTTCCTGGGACGATCCGAATGATGGACCGCCGGAGCTGATGCGTGGCTAGGTCTCTCAGCTGCTGGCCGGGCACACCTTTCCTACCAGTTCTCTCTGTCTCTCTCTTCCTCCCTCCCTAGACCTGTTTGTCTTCTTGTGAAAACCAAGCTCCATGAGGCAGTTTCTCTTCTCAGATCCTAGGATAGCGACTGGCCCATCGGTTCAACAACTATTTGGTAAATTCAAACAAAACAAAACCGGTCCTGGCTGGTGTGGCTCAGTGGATTGAGAGGCGGCCTGAGAACCAAAGGGCCGCCGGTTCCATTGCCCTGGCTGGGTTGTGAGCCAAGTCCCTAGCAGAGGGCATCGAGAGGCAATCACACACTGATGTTTCTCTCCGTCTTTCTCCCTCCCTTCCCCCCTCTCTAAAAATAAATAAAATCTTAAGCAAAACCTGTTTGACTTGTTTGGGAAATTTCTTAGCAGTGTGTGAAACCCCACATCACTGTGAGTCCCTGCTGCTTCTCCAGTTCCATACCTCTGACCACAGGGGCGTCAGTAACAGCACGCCGAGGAGGTAGGACGCTGATCGGCCCTGTGCACGCGATAGGAATCTGCATGGAAAGCGGCCCATACTCAGCAAAAAGCACCCACGGGCCCTGTGTCCCAGCGTCCCAGGCTTCTGGGAGGACCCTGGAACCCTCTTCCTGGTTCAAAGCCAGCACAGTCTACCAGCCTCCGCCAGTGAAATTTCCGAGGAGAGTCCATATTCTTGCACAGAAGCTGGTTTTAAGGAGACAGAAGTGTTGCCAGCATGCCGTGGGGGGTCTGTGCTCCAACTCATGTTGGACACCAAAGGAAACGCTTCAAGTTCACTGGTATAAGTCCAGATGGCAGGTGCAGCCAACCTCGCAAACTCCGCGCGGTCTTTATCACAACTGCCTATTGTATTTAATATGCAATGATGCCTTTTCAACATTGTGCGGGACAAAACGGAAACTGCAGGGGCAGTGTTGAGCGAATTCCTGCCAAAGCCACCGGGGACCCTGCCTCCCTCGGCTGCGCCGCTGACCTTTAGTGTCAGAGATTCACCACAGGCGGTGGGCGTGGCTGCAGGGCAGTGTGGCTCTTCTGTGCTGCGCTGAGGGTCTGGGCCACGGACTCTGGACCCCGCCAGGACAGATGAAGTTCAGCCGGTCTCTCAGGAGTGAGGAGGGGTTGATGCTGAAGTCACCCGGTGCCTCCTTTCACGGGCCCTGGGTATGGCCTCCCCAACCATTGGCTATCCCATCACCCTGCATGGGGTTTACCTACGTAGGAACCGAGGACAAATCACCCAGAACATCCAGAGTCTATGGGACTCCAACTCCAAAGCCTGAAGGCTTCGGGAAGGCATTTAATTAAAAACAGATTTGAATTAAAGAAATGAACCTCCTGCCTTTTGGCCTCTTGGCAAAGAAGATCATTCTCCAGCTAATTAGCAGGAAAAAAAAAAAGAAGGGAAGACTGCACTTGAACCTACTTCCTCTTGGACTTGGTCAGCCTGAGTCTACCTGTTTTAATAAAGTGTATCCCAGGTTGGCACAAGGGATTCAGTAAAACCTGAGACGCAGCGCCAAGCTGGGAGCCCCAGAAAGGGCTTGTGCGCCTTCCTCACGGAAGCCCCCCACACTGAGCTGGGCTGCCCCTCGCCCTGTGAAATGTAAGCTCCGTGTTCCCCTTAAAAACATGAAAGTCTTGATTTGTTAAACCTAACAATGTTCTCTTGGTTGATTTTGTCATTTAATTATTTTTTTAACGATGTACCTGAGTTGGTTCAGCCTGGAACTATGGCATGTTATAAAGGCAAAGGATCTTAAATTTTATCTGGTCTAATTCCCTTGCTTTTCCTATAAGCACACAGAATTTTCGAGAGGAAATATCTTGCCCAAGCAGGAGATAAACCTTACAGTGACTGAGCCTGGAGCAGAACTCAGGTCTCTAGCCCCCAGAATCAGCCGTTGAGTCCCTGTGGTAATTATTCAATAACTATCAACTGTTGAAGGTCAGTCATTCATTCGCAGTTGTTAATCACTTATTCTTAATGAAGATAAAGACGGTGTTGTGAATGGGGTGGTCTTATTTTCAAAACCACACCCTGCTCAACAACTGTTTGGACGGACTGCGTGGAAGTCAACCTTGACTCTTCCCCTTCCTTCATCCCTCAAGTTCATGCTGTTGATGAAATCCCCGTATGTCCCCTGGAGGCCCAGCTGCCACCTTCGACAGATGGTCAATGTAGTTGTGCCTTAAAGCCGATGCACAGAAAAAATACGGGAGACACAAAATCAGGAGAAGGCAGGAAAGCCAAGGGATTCTCATCAGACTGACAGAGTACCCAAAGTTGGGAGAATCTAAATTAAATTTCTCACAATCCCAGACATTCTTCTGGGAAAAGTCACCCGCACACACTCACAGAGAGAACTGAAAGTCTCCACTAGTCTCCAGTTGCTGCCGGGGAGGTACCCGGAGTATTGTGTGGAAAGTGTTAAGATTCGTTCATTTGTGAGGGACAGGGTCAGCCATCAGCGGGGACACAGAGGAACATGACAGAGGGGTTTTCTTGCTTTTTGTTTTTATTGTAAGATAGAGGTTTATTTTGTTGTTTTTCCCAAGGCATTCATCACAATCATAACCAAATAATCATCAGCACAAAGAGAAAAGACATTGTAGGTATCAACTATTCATTCTCTCTTAGGGCTGACTGACGGCTTCTCCCTGGACTAGATACAAAACAACTGTTTACCTGTTAACCCCTGAAGGGCGTCCTCGGTTCAGAACGAAGCTGCCAAGAACAATTTATGTACAAAAATAATTATTTGATAATTGCACCATTTACTTGCGTATCCGCCTAGTGTGTGTTGGGTACTTGCTATGTCAAGTGCTTCCCTGTGTTGAACGTAGATACAAGGAGCGATAACCCCCACACAAACAGCCTAAAGTCTAAGATAAGTAAGAAATAAGAAATTACAACACAATCTCAATAAGGCATCAGCCCTGTGAAGAACGATAAAAACAGGGAGTGACAAGCCATCTCCCACGGGGAAACCAAAGGCTTCCTGTGGGAGGTGCCGTCTGAACGCTCGCCCGAAGGAAGTGAGAGAGGCTGGCCTGGGGGGACCCCTGTGGAGAGAAAGATCCGGGAGGTAGCAGCCTGATGGCCAGATGACGTGGGCAATCACAGTAATGTCACACAGGACGTCACCTGGGGGGGGGGGCTCTGGGAGATGCTTTTCTTTTCTTCCTTTCTTTTTTAAAGATTGTATGTATTTATTTTTAGAGAGAGGGGAAGGGAGGGAGAAAGAAAGGAAGAGAAACATCGATCGGTCACTTATTGTATGCGCCCAACCTGGGACCAGACCCACCTGACCGGGAATCAAACCAGCAACCTCCCACTCTGCGGGATGACGCCCAACCCACTGAGCCACACCAGCCGGGGGCCAGGAGCCCCTCGTCTAAGCTTCTTTTCTCTAGTAACCCCTGCAATAATCGCAGCCCAATACAATGGATATTTTTATTCTTTTTCTCATTTTGCAGATGTTTAAACTGACACATGCAGAGCATTGATAACTTTTTCAAGGTCAGGCAGGTAGAAAATATTTGTTTGATACATTAGAGACAAATGAGGCAACGCCGAGACCACACGTTTGCGTAAGCAAGTTTGTTACCCGACTGCAGAAAACATAGACTATTGATTGGAAGAGGGCGGACTCAGAGGCAGAGAATAATCCTGGCAAGAAACGCCATGGGTCCGAACGTAGGACAAGCTGCAGGAACTGAGAGGAGGTGATGGTGCGAAGCGATGCTTCGGAGGCAGAACTTAGGAGACTCGGTGGCTTGTTGAACGTGGGTGATAAGTCTTATGATAAGGAAAAAACTCAAAGATTTGGAAGATTGAAATAACGCCATCCCCTTCTTTATTCTTCCCAATTTATGGGTCCTTTGAACCTGAAACACTGGGCTTTTCGGTAAATGTCGTCGAATTTTAGTTTTAGAAGGAATGATGCAGATAGGAGCATCTCACACCTTTATTTAAAGATGAAGAGAGACCCAGACAGGTGAAGTGACAGCCTGAAGTCACTTAACAGGTGAGGATGGAGTCAGTGCTGGAACTGGGACTCCTCCCACGGCCCCCACATTCTCAGGGAATCTCAGTGGTCATGGGTTCGAGGACGTGCCCGATTTCTCCTGACATCTTTCCCTTCCTTGGCGCCATCCCTGGAGGCTCACTGGGATGTCCCTAATCTACACATATTGGTGGTTCTCAACGATGTGGCAGACACTGTGTTAGGTCGTAGGACTGTCCTCTGTGGGGCACTCACCATCAGTAATTTTTACACTGAGCACCTACTGTATACCTGGCATCTCTCAAAACACTGTTCTCACAGGGTGTGAGTTTTCATGCTTGGATTCAAGTTCAAGTCAGCGTTACATCATAGTGCACGTTCTCTCTCCCAGGCAGAGAGTACTCGTCTGAGAACTGTCTTCAGCTTCTTTTTTTCTCCATGGTAGTTTCTTGCTCCAGTTTCTTCCGCTTCTCCCACGCCTCATGAATTATAGCAGCAAGTTATCCTCTGCCAGTCCCCCTTCTAGAAAAGAGGGTGTGTGAAAATCCACACACCGGTTCACATAACGAGTTCTTGGAAGCGAGGTTCCAGAAACACTCAGGGAGCAACTGTCATCCTGCGGTAGAGGAATGGCTTGTCTATGAGCGTCACCAAGGGAATGATGGGGAGGGCGTCTGGTCTGCTGTTGCTGCTGTTTATTTACAGAGAGGAGCGCCTTCTCGGGCGCGAAAGCCGAGGGTTACGGACGTGGCCCATCTCCTCGGAACTGAGACACGCCCTCGCCAGGCAATCTCCTGCTTCCTAATTTATCATCATTTTTTGATGAGGTCATTTTCTTACCATCCACGCAGGCTAACCCTGTGTGTCAGCTCTCCCAGGAAGAAGACGGTGGGAAGATTAAGTGCTACCATTTTCAGGAAAGTCTATGCAAAAACATTTAACAGCTCCCATAAACGCGATGTACAACTAACTGGGACTGGGCCTGCGACGACGATGCTAATGTCTGTTTTTATAAGGTCCTGCATCACCCTAACTACATCCCCGGTAAACTTGTCAGATGTCAACCGTGCGGGGGCTGGAATCTCGTTCGAAGGTTTATTAACTGCTGTGCCCGGTGGCATTTCCTCTGAATGACTGTCTAACGTGGAGCCGGAGGCCGCTTCTCCTTCCAATATAAATACAAGAACAACCCTAATAAAACAGATGAATTACACCGCAGTGCAAATGAGACCGTTGTAATGGACTCCGGCGGTGAAGGCAGTGAAATAGTAACCAGTGCGATTGCGTGTGCCACGCCGAGGACAGTGACTGTGAATCAGGATGGGCTGCCA